ACACACTTTGATTTTGACATTAATGATTATTAAACGAGTATTAGTTTTGATTTGTGAATACGAGAATGCTTTATGTGACACTTTGGCAGTAACAAAAGTGATCATTAAACCAATATTGGATTTGTAATTGGACAATCCTTTTTTATGCCCGGCTTTATCACACCAAACTATCTTCTCTTCTAATCCTGATTCGAAATATAAACTTCTTGGCGAAATTTCAAGGTAAGATTATATTCCATGGACAAGGTAGTGGTAGATCCAGTCGAAAAGCCGGAAGCACGAGCCCTTACTATACAATAAAGAATTTTTGAGCATGTTTGGCACATCAAATTAGATCGTACAAGGTGGTAAAAGAAAATTAGAGTGGGTATTGCTGCGTACATAGTTTTAGGTAGAATTGACGTGGACAATATTCTTTACTTTTCAATTCAAAATAATTATATTTGCACTATTTTTCTTAAACTAAATGAATAATGGGAGGTGGGTTTATAACCTCCCCTCTCAATTTGACACGAAAAACTTAGGACATTGATTGTTATTGGAGGAAATAATACTAGGTAGATAATAGAGAAATGCTACTAGTAAAATTTTTTTTAACAGATTTTACACAGGAAACATAGCTATCTCACAGAGATTGGCAGCGGCTGTTGCAGTTTTTGGCAGCAGGAAAACATAGGGAGATAGCCTCCGTGTATAAAATCTGGTAAAAAAATCTATACCAGCAAAATAATTCCAGATAATATTCTTAAGTTTCTTAAAAAAAAAAAATGAAAATTTGACACTGTTCAAATCTTGCAACAATTCCTGAAAATATCAATTGCATCATCGAGACCAAAACCAGATTGAAATGAACCAAAATCAAACACAAGAAGAGAATAAATGTGAACCATAATATTTTGATACTTCACTTCCCTTTTTCATTTCTTGATTAATCAGAGAACAATTTGCAGAACATCAAGTATCACTACTTTATTACACTCTGCTTCCAGAGCTCCTTTACAGTCTCACGGAAAAGGACTCAACTATTGCAGTCAAAAAACAGAAAGCTTAACAGATCAGGTGAACAAGAGTGGTAATGTACGTTCCCGACTGCAAATTTTATTGCCTTCTGCAGATTCAATATGTTTCGAAGTGTTTGTTTTTTAATTCAATTTAACAACGGAAGGAGGAAGTTTAAAGGGGACTGGGAAAAGAAAGCTCTGGAGCCAAATGTAAAGCTAAAATTGCAGCCTCGTTTTACACATAAAATTAACGGTACCAGTAGTTTAGTTCAGACATACATGACGACAATGCCTCTTGTAGTTGGGGATTTTCCGAGCCCATATGAAGTGCATCTTCATACAAGCATCTGGCCTGCTGCAGTAATTTCACCTTCTCTCTACTATTCCTTGGACGTAGTCGAGATCTGTGCTGCAATGCTGCACCCCATCTGAAAAGAGCTGCAATGCATAATTCGATCAAAATCATCTTCTAGTTAACAAAAAGGACAAAGTGAGTTTCTTTTAGGAGAAATTATGTAATTCAATAGAACAACATGAAAGCAAGACTGTTAATAATTTTTGGTCCTACTTTAGTGATACCAGACTCCTTTCACAGTTTGTTTCTCAGAGAAGAAAGAGAAGAAAGTACACGAAGAGGACAAGGGAGATATCTTAATTACATATTTCACGAACTAACACCAAAAGGAACTTATTTTCTATTTCTTAAAACCTATTAGAACAGTTAAAAATGGAATGCTATTACTGTTAAAACAGGTGCAGTATACCATCAGGTGCATAAACATTGCTTTTAGACATCATGGCATCAAATTTATCTATTGCAGCCAAGAACACCTTGTCAGCATCATGAGCAGCGCCCTGAAATATATAAATACAAATAAAGGTCAAATATAAATTCGAGCCAAAACTAAATAAAAATTCCTCATCAATTAATAATAGCAAAGTTGTATGACATTAACAGGTTAATCTTTTCATTCATTCATTTTTATGGCAAAGTCAGGTATAGTCACCGGTCCAATATCTGCTATCAATTGTGCACGAAATGAGAGGGCAAGGCCCCAGTTATATAAGGCTCTCAGATCATTCCCATCAATTGACAACGCCAACCTGTACTTTCTCCCTGCCTTAATAAGTAGCTCTTCACATTCTTCACACGCACCGACGAGAGCAGATGTAAGTTTGTCTTTATAATCTAGCTGATCATCAAAATTGTCAAGTACTTTTCCCAACTCCTTGACTGAAAAGGAATCATTTCTTGCAAGTAGGGATCTGAACTCTCGGCTGATCCTCAGTTTTAGTTCGCCGTGAAGAAGATATGAGTTTCCCAACTGCCCGACTGCCAATAAGCTCATTGGTCTCATGTCTATTGCTTTCAATAGTAACTTGGCAGACTTATAAAGTGCATTCTCAGCACGACCATCATCAATAATTTTCTGCCTTAAACATTCCTTAGCTTCTTTCATCAAAATATTTGCTTCTCTAATATACCTACTGAACTCCAAATCATCAGCAAGTATTGAAGACGAAGGAGGAGAACCATTGTCATGATTAGTGAAGGACCGTTTCGCCTCTTGAAAAGAAGATCCCTGATACTCTCTTTCACTCATCTCTCTGCTTTCAGAATCCAAAAAATTTTCATTCATACTTCTTGATTTGTGTTCATGCCCAAAAGAAGCAGCTGTTCTTACATGTTTCATTCTGACACTAAAATCGAGAGAATCGTATAAACTATCACGAGATGCCCTTCCTTCAATTTCATCTATGTCATCCATTTTCAAATAAACTTGTTCATCATTTAGATATCTTGACATTTTATTCCGATAAACATACTCTTTCTCATTAAAAACTGTTTCAGCAGTACCATCTATAGCAGCCAAATTCATCTTCTCATTCTCAGAAACTATTTTCATTCTTCTTGTCCTATTGGCCAAACTATCAGCACTATCTTGACTTCTATCAGTGTTATTGAAAGGGTTAGCTGATGGACCCACATTCACATTTCTCCTGTTTCCATTTAACCAAGATTTTAAATTGCTTCCTTTGACAGACCCAGCTAAGATGTTCTCTTCCCGTTGACCATTGCCCTCCACATCCATTAATTCTCTCTTGCCAGTCTCTTTCATTTTACTGCACTTTGAATCAATTGACTTCCTTCCCAAAAAACCACCAAAAATTTGAGAGAAGTTTAGTCGATTTTCGCCCAATTCTTTTCTTGTCCTACTTGACTTCTGATTCAAAGCTTCCTCCTTTTCTTGGTAATCAACAAATAAATTCTGTATAAAATCATCAAAAACTTCTCTTGCATTCAAAAATGATAAATTAATTGATTCAATAGCATTAACATAGCCTTCCAAATCACTCACAGTAACTTGATTACACTCCACACTTCTTCTGATATTATTCTTTAAATTCAGAATCTTCTCATCAAAACCATTAAAAACATCCCCCAAATTCCGTATTTTCTCAATGGAACTTCTAACAATTTCATCTTTAAACTTTCTTTTATTCCCATTTAATTTCAATTCATTCATGTGACCCCCATTGACCAAACCAATTGAAAATCCAACTGCAAATACAATAGCACAAGCTGGAAATACAACAATTGAAGAAACCTTAATTCTAGAAATTGCCAGAGCACAAACAAAACCAAATAGATACACAAAGACATACTTTTTGTCATCAATTCCAAGGGAATTCAGAAAACTGTGAAGCTGATTTGACGCCCCAGAGTGAGCTGAGTCACCACTGAGCAGAAAATCATCCCAACCACCATAACTTGACGAGCCAGACGACGTAGCAGAGCATAAAGTAAGAGTCTTGAAGGTGTAAATGCATTTTCGGGAACACAAGTTCAGAAATAGTTGATTTTTATGGGTTGTTGAGAAGAGAAAATTTGAGGTTCGGGATTGAGTGATCAAACGGAAATTGGGTTTGTTGGAAATTAGGGTTTGCATTTCCGAATCTAGTAACAGTTTAGGTTACATTGTTCTCGTGTACACGCACTTTAACTGCTAAAATTCTTGAACGGATGTGCTGCTCGATTAGTTTCCAAATTAAATCATTGCCTACTGAATTTTATCAAAGGTTATTACATGTTCACTCAACTAAAAAATGTTATTCATTCTTCGATCATTTATTCAAATGTTTACCCATTCATCACTCCATTTAAGTTCTTTATTAAATTAATGGAAAACTCCACGCGTACAAACGAAAATCTAACTTGGCACATTTATACCGTTAATTTATCCATTTGAATTAAAAATAAAATAAAATTTAAAAATCCCAAATTACAAACACAAAGTCCACGTGTTTAAATAAAATTAAGAACCCCCAATTTTTTTATTTTAAAACCCCCGATTGCAATAGACAGATCTTCATACATTCTTATTCTTAAATTCATTCTTATTTATCACTGGTGAAAGATATTCGTTCAAAAACCCTCGATTGCAATAGACGGATATTCATACATTCTTGTTCTTAAATTCATTCTTATTTATTGCTGGTGAAAGATATTCGTTCAAAAAAATATAAAAAAAAATAAAACAGAATTTGGGGGATTTTAATTTTATATAAACACAAGGATTTTGTATTTGTAATTTGAGGTTTTTAACCCCCGATTGCAATAGACGGATCTTCATACATTCTTGTTCTTAAAGTCGTTCTTATTTATCACTGGTGAAAATTTTCGTTCAAAAACCCCTGATTGCAATAGACAGATATTCATACATTCTTGTTCTTAAATTCATTCTTATTTATTGTTGGTGAAAGATATTCGTTCAAAAAAAAAAAAAAAAGAATTTGGATGTTTTTAATTTTATTTAAACACGGGGATTTTGTGTTTGTAATTTGGAGTTTTTAATTTTTAGTTTTTATTCTTTATCTAAGTGGATAAGTTAACGGTATAAATGTGCCAAGTCAGCTTTCCGTTTGCACACGTAGAGTTTTCCGTCAATTTTGACAAAGATTTTAAGCAGAGTGATAAATGGGTAAGCATTTGAATAAATGAGTGAGCAGTGGGTAACCTTTTTATTTCAGTGAGCAAGTGGTAAACTAAAGTAAAGTTCAGTGGGCAGTGATTTAATTAACTCGTTTCCACAATAAGAGGGCAATTTGGCGAAAAAGAACAATGGAAATAAAGACCTTGTTTGATTCCCATGTTTATTTTCCTTTTTTTTTTTAATACATTTTTTTCCTTCAATCATGCATTATTCATTAAAATAATATTACCCATGACCTAAAAACTTTTTCTTTATTTTAAACCACATATTCTTTATCAATCCACTATTTCAAAGTACATTCTATAAAAAGAGAGAGGCTCAAACAGGCCTAAATATTTTTGTCGAGCATCAATTTTAGTTTGTTTTAAAATAAGATGTAAATCAATATTTTGTAAAACTTTATATCTGTTGTCCTTTTTTCTTTTTTTATTGCTTGTTTGATAATTTCAAAATATGAAAGTCTTTTTATGCCCTCTTAACTAACTTTTTAGACGAAGATTGCCATCATGAACAAATGTGCTAAGTAATAGAAGACTCAAGAATGTGGATAATAATGTAACACAAAAACATTGGGAGACTTTGAGCATAATTAAAATGTAGTGGCAATAGTGGCAAAACAAAGAACTCCAATTTTATTGTTGAATGGAGGTAGGGTGAACATTAACTAGAATTGAACTTAACCAATCGATTTGGTTCGATTCTAGTTGAAGTTAATTTGACTCTGGGTCTTAGAATCGTGAATCCAACAATTTAATTTTATTCTCAATTGTAACTACAAAGATTTTCTTTATAATCTATGAATAATTTCTAATTTATATAAATTCATATGAATTCAAGACAATTGAGAATTTTTTAATTATAAATCGTGAAAGTGAAATAAGAAAATTCATTTGATGGTTTACATCTTTAAATTTTCTATGGAAATTATTTTATCATAAGAAAATAAATTATAGGCAATTCAATTGTCTAGAACTTATTTGTATACAAATTATTAATTAAATGTGCCTGATTGATTTAGCTTTCAATTTAGAAAATATCATACTTGACCATTTTTTATTAGTGGATAGATGAGAGAGAGAAAGAAGTGGTGAATTACCTACTAATAAAAATCACCCCTCCCTGAAGAAAATATTTTTTTTACTTATTTTTGAGAAAAATATGGTGATAAGATCAAAAGTTGAAAAATATATTCCAAGGAAAAATTGTTAATTAAACACTCCAAAAGTAGAAATTTGAGTGGAAAAAAAATGACATTTTTCATTAAAAAAAATAAAGTTTGTGCGTTTGATTACTAGCATGAAATTTTCTTGAAAGAAAATAAATTTTAGGAAATTGAATTACCTAAAATTTATTTGTATGAAAATTATTAATTAATTGTATTTGATTGATTTAGTTTTCAATGTAGAAAATAATAATTTATTCCATTTTTATTAGTGATAGATGAGAGAGGGAGGATAGATAAAATCATAGGGAATGAGATTTTAGTAATCCAACCCATGAATTACAATAATCAGTGGCGTCAAACTCTATTAAGGAGAAGCCATGTCATGAGACTCAAACCTAGTTTCTTCTCTAAATCAATGACTCCTAATAACTTCATCCATTTTACTGTCTTCACTCTCGTTCTACTTGTCGCGATGTTCACTCCTTATCCATGCAAGTGCAATTCAGATGGTAAAATACTATTTTTTCATTTCGTGTTGTAATATTACCCACCAATATTTTTTCCTATTACATTCAGACTTAATTTTCCTAGATGATCCTTTGAATTAGGTAGCAGCACAGGAACTAGAACCGATAAGTGCAAGAGAGGGTTCTGTACTTCAGACGAACAAACACAATGCTGGTGTTGTAAGTTTTCTCGGACTGAACGATTGGAATATTGTTCAAATGACAATGAGGAGTGATTTTGGTAGTATGGAAGTGATTAACTATGAGAAAAATAAGCGAAAATAAAACGAGGACAAAAAAGGTGAAAGCACCCGACCTTATTTTTGCAATTACAATGGTCATTTTGTTGAATCGGTGGGTGCCTGATTTTGTACTAGACGGCTGCCCTGTATAAAAATTTGATTGTTGGTTGTTTGATTTCTGGTGTATTTTGAGATGTTCATACCCTTTTGGCTTATTTTTGCACCTTTCGTATTACAAATATCAAATTCATTTATCAATATCCAAAACCAAACCAGTTTTTATAATTTTGTTCTTTAGTTCCTTTTTTCTAAGTTTTATTTGCTTGATTCAAACTTGGATTAAGGTTTGTTTACTCCTACAAACAATTTGTCATAAAGCCTTCAAGTACTTACTCGGATGGGAAAAAATATCGTTTGAGGATAACGATTCATAATCGTATTCAAACCTTCTATTTAAACGATTTCTTGTCGTTGTTTTATTATTGTTCTTTATCAACTTTGTTCAACAATCTTGAATGATATTTGCCGCATGAGAGAATGAGACAACCATGGCTACGATAAAGATGATGAATCAAGACCTCGTAAAAGTTGATATATTCGACTGGTCGAACTTTACAAAATGGAAAGACATGTTGAAGTTTCTTCTTATAACCTTAAAGATCTTTTATATTTTGGATCCAGATTTGGCGTCATTGCCAGTACCAATTCCAAATGACACCGACAAAACAAAGGCAAAAAGGAAGAAAAGAGAAAAAGATGAATTGATATGTAGAGGACACATTCTGAACTCTCTCTGATTGCCTCTATGATCTCTACACAAATAACACATCGACAAAGGAGATATGAAGATCATTGGAAACCAAATGCAAGACTGAGGAGAAAGGTACCAAAATTTTCTTATTTTTAAGTATTTTGATTTCAAATTTTTAGGATAACTTGCCTTTGTTAGGACAAGTCTATGAATTGCAAATAATTGTCAATAAAATGAAGGTTGTAAAGATAGATCATCTTAAAATTTTCTAAGTTGGTGCAATCATTGCGAAATTGCCATCTTCATGAAGGTTATAGGAAGAAAATTCTTGACAATTTCCAAGAATAGTCTTTGGAAGAATTTCAAAAATATCTTCGAATTAAGGAAGAGTCAAAGACATGAGATAGGAATGAACATTCTCATTATGACACTTCCAAAGCCTATGCTATGGATCAACCAAACAAATTCAATAAAGATTCTAAGAAGAGAAAATTCACAAATCCCAACAAAGATAACAAGAACAAGAAGAAATCCAAAATTTCTTGTGATGTGTTTAAGGTTTCTCCATATTAATTGCGGAAAGATTTAAGGATTCCTTTTGAAATAGGATACTAGTTGAAATGAGAAATGCTATGTTATTAAAGGCTAAGTTTCCATATAACTTATGTGGTGAACATTTATTAAGTGCGTGTCACGTAGTTAATAGGATTCCTTGTAAAAGATTTAAGGTTTCTCCATATGAATTGTGGAAAGGGAGAAAATCCAACATTGATTATTTCAAAGTGGGGGGAGGGGGTTGGTGGGTGGTGGTGTCTTGCTTATAGTGAAAACATGGATCTGAAAAGGACTAAGTTGAGTCCTAGAGGGATCAAATGCGCTTTGTAGGATAAGCCCGAAATAGCAAGGTCTATCGTGTATTCAATTTGAAAACCAAAATTATTATTCAATCCCCATAAAATAGAGTTCTTTGAGAATATATTATCTTCAAATAATAATTTTGTCAGGGAATCTCAAGTAGAGATTTCTAACTCAACAAGATCACAAGTAGAAACACCTTTTGAGAATGTTGAAACAAGTGAACTTTGTAGAAGTAAAAGAGCTCAAAAGGAGAAAAAGTTCGGACCGGATGAATTAGACTCTTAACTTGTTTCTTTCTATTTAGTTGAGGAAAATGAGAAGAGTGTCACAAGAACTACTTTGTATGTTCTTTTAAGTGGAAATCAATCCTAAAACTTATCAAAAAACAATGTCACTTAGAGATAGCACCTTTTGGAATGATGCTATAAATGATGGAATTGATTTAATAATGTCAATCAACACTTGAATATTAGTCTATTTACCTCCTGGATCAAAACCTATAGGCTGCAAAAGGGTATTTAGGAAGAATGCGTTGAATTTCTTGTGTTGTGTAAAATAGAGAAC